GGCCCCGCCCAGGGCCCCGCTCACCCCGGCCTCGCCCGCGCAGGGAGGCGCTGGGGCGGGGGGCGGCCTCGCTGAGCCTGGGCGAGGGGAAGGCCACGCTGCGGCTGCGGGAGGAGGCGGCCCGGGGCTGGGCCCTGGATCTCTTCAAGCTGCCCATCGCCGAGGCGAGGAGCCAGCTCCAGGCGCTGGTGTTCGGCATGGCGGGGCGCGTCGAGAGCCTGGAGAGGCGGCTGGAGGGTATGGCGGGTTTGGGAGGGGGTGAAGGTGGGAGCTCCCTGCCGCCTTCCCGGTCTCGTGCCCCCCGCCCAAGGGTGCCCAAGGGATCCAGCTCGGCCAGCAGCGGGTGAAGGCTGCGCCTCCCTGGCCTCAGCCCAGCTGGTTTCTCCTCGCCGGCCCCGGGTGGGCTGGCCGGGAGCGCTGGGCAGCAGAGGTGCTGCCTCTTTTCTCCTATTTGGGCTGGCCCATTCCCCAGGCTGGCCAGGGTCTGCACCTCACCCCCTCGGGCTGCAGCGCTCCTGCATGGGACCAGAGGACGCGGTGTTGTGTCTCTGTGCAGAAACACAACCTTGTCCCCACGGCCAGCGCCAGGCCAGCACCGCTGTGTGGGGGAGTCACCTTACAGAGGTCTCTCTTCTAGGGGTCTCAGAAGATCCTGGGGCAGCGGCTGCCTGGGTGGGAGGGCTGGGAGGAGAACACGGCTCCGTTTGGCTGTGGAGGGGAGGGAGGTTGCTGGGGAGGCCTGGAGTGCAGCATGCCACGCTGGGGCGCGTTGTCACAAGCTCTGGTTCCTGTCTTCACAGCGGCAGAGACACTGGCGTCTTCCTGCAGCCCTGAGAAGAATGCTGCCCGGAGCCAGCAGCTCTTCCTGCCAGGTAGGCAGCTGCCAGGGGCACCTCCCCGGGTCCCGCTGTTTGTCTGCCCTCTCTTCCCCAGGAGGCTGCCGGTCCGGTGTCCGTGTGCTCTCCAGGACATGCTGAGTCCCCTCGGCCATGGCTGCTGTCAGCCCCCCCGCTGTCCTGGTGCCCTTCCCGGCACAGAAGGGGCCAGGGCGCAGCGCGGTGGCTCTCGGGGTGTCTGGGATGCGCTGTGCTCAGGTCAGATGCCGAGCATCACCGGGCAGGTTACTCACTAGCCTCCAGGAGGAGGTCAGGCTTCGCTGTTCCTCCAGACTGGGGGCCGTGGCAGGTCCATGGCTCCCTGCTCCTCTGGGAGAGGAGAGCAGGCTTGGCCCTTCCTCACCCACCAGCGGTGCTGGGCCAGCCAGGCTGGGCTGCGGGAGGCTCACCCTGGGCATGGAGGAGCATGCAGGGCTGCCAAAGCAACAACCTGACCTTTTGTAATCCCTGTCCTGCCTCTCTCTGACCGAGGCAGACCCCAGCCCCAGGAAAAACAGGGGTGCTGGCTCAGCTTTGCCAGCCAAGAGGAAGATCCCGGGCGAGTCTCTCATTAACCCTGGCTTCAAAAGGTAAGTGCTGCTCGCAGGCCCAGTGCTGGGGCTGGGCCGCGCTGGAGATCCAGTGGACTCTGCTCTGTAGCTGCATGGGGGCAGAGCACGGGGCTTTGGGCTGTGATGCCCCTTCCATCTCCTTTTAGCAAGAAGGCACCGTCTGGAGTGGATTTCGAGGACTCCTGACCTGTGCTGTCCCATCCCCGATGCCTTGTCAGCCACCTGTGTGCTGGTGGAGGAGGTGCCGCTGCACCCTGGGCCTGCGGAGCCCCTTGCGCCCAGGGAGGCAGACGGGGCAGGCAGCACCCAGGGGGCTGGAGCCAGCGCCTGGCAGGCCCGAGCAGGCGGCAGATCCTCAGCCGGCGCAGTGGCAGGGCCTTCGGGGGGGCACAGATGGGGCAGGCGTGACAGAAGTGGTGGCTTTTTTCCCTTGCAACTCTTCCCTGCTGGCGGGGCCACCTCTCTACCTCGCTTGCCATGAATTAGTGGGGTTTTTAAAGAACTTTTATATCTCCATGTAATGAAAAGATTGCCTGTGCTTAACTTATTGCCAGTAAAGGCGGTTTTAGCCAGCCGGTCTCTGGGGACCGGGACAGCACGGATGTGTTGGTCCATTCTGTCTTTCCCTTGCTCAGGAACCCTGTGGCCAATTTCAGCTGAACTTGGAGGGTCAGGGGCTCAGAGGAGCTCACTTTCCTGCTAGCTTTGTGCCAGTGGGCTGGTGGGTGAGTGGTTGGAGCCTCCCCACCCTCCCTGCAGAGCTGGGAGAATGGTCCCAGCCCTTGCTAGGCACTGGGAGAGGACTGGGAGGCTGGTGTGAAGTCCTGCGAGGGAGGAGAGCTGCTGGGGCTGGTCGCTTGACTCACACTTGTCTTGCTTGCAAAGCCTTTATTGATTTCTGGGAGCTCTGATACATGGCTTGGACTTGCCCCGCTTCACCCCTGTCCCCCTCCCAAATCTGCTCCTGAGAGCGCCCTCACGGCAGGTTCGGGGGGGAGGGACGGTGCCCTTGGCTCCCCTCGCCCAGGGCGACGGCTGGGCCGTGCCCGCCACCCGCAGCGTCTGCGGTGCCTGCTGCCCCGGCCCGGGCCTGCCCCGGCCCGCTGGCCTGGCGGGCGGCACCGTGTGCCTCCGAGGGAGGCTGCAGGGCTGCCTGCTGCAGCGCGCTGCCCTCTCTGCCCCGCAGCCCTCTGCTCCGGGCAGCTTTTCCTCCCCAGCTCCCGCCCTTGCCCTCAGCGCTGCCCAGCTTTGGTACAGACGGTGCTCGCGGCTGTGGCTCCCCTGCACCTGTCCTGATGCTCAAGGGACCGCAGGGCAGGTCGAGGGGGTCCTGGCCGGGCAGAGAGGGTGGCACAAGAGGCGAGAACGCGTTTGTGGGCTTAGTGCGACGCAGATTGCTGCCGGCACCTCGGGCAGGGGTGCCAGCTGGGGGAATTTGGATGCCAGGGGCACAGCTCATGCGCTCTGCCCTTCCAAGTGCGTGCAGGCAGGACTGTGGTGGTCGCAGCAGGACCGGGGCGGGCGCTGGCCTGCTGCCCGACCCTGGCCCTGCGCCCGCCCGGGCGCGTGCCCGGCTCACTGCGGCAACCGGACCACGGAGCGATAGGCTTGTATGATCTCCTCGCTGTTGGGGCAGGTGTATTTGAATTCCTTGGTTTCGCTGGCGCTGTTGAGGTAGCGCCACACGCCCCGCAGGTCCTTGGGGATCCCGAAGCGGCGGTAATGCTGGCACACGACCTGCAGGCAGAAACGGGGTGAGCCCTTGCCCAGCCCCGTTTGCATGTGGTGTGCCGAGGGGAGCCCTGCGGCCGGTATTCACAGGCAGGAGCCAGCCAGGAAGGGTGGCAGGGGGCCAGGGGACATCTCTGGTGCTGCCTGAGACAAGGGGTGGCACCCGGCAGGGGATGCAGAGGGGAGAGAGATGTGTGGGAAGGCACCGTGCTGGGCAGGGGCCGTGGGGAGGGGGTGCCGGGGGGCACCGGGGCACTGTAGGGGTTGGCAAAGGAGCAGGGGGTTGCTGCAGGCAGCGACGGGGAAGTGAGAGCACATGGAGGAGCGAGGGCAAGGGGAGGGCACGGCACTGGGGTGCCCGCTCTCACCTGAACGATGTTGAGCTTGGGCAGCAGGTTGCAGTCAGCCAACGTCAACTGGTCCCCGTCGAGGAAGCGGCGCCGGGAGGCCCGGAGGTGGGGGTCCGCGGCCAGCTCGTACTCCAGGGGGGCACTCAGGTACTCGTCCAGCTTCAGCAGGGCCCGCAGCAGGCTCCGCTGCAGCGCTGCGGGGAGGGCGGCACCGCTGGGTCAGGGCACGGCCCCGCGGCGGGCACAGGGCCCCACAGCTCTGCCGCGGCCTCCTGCCAGCCCAGCCCTGTGCCCGGGCTGGCACCGGCCCCTGCCCTCCCAGGGGAGCCCTGGCACCGCCACGCTGAACTCCTGGGGAGGGGCAGTGCCTGGAGAGGCCCCGCCGTGGCCTGGGGCAGGGGAGGGCTGGAGGGGCTCGGGGTGACCTGCCCGGCCTTCGAGGGGGTGCCACCTGAGCGGCTGCATGGGGTGTCCCCCCACCCAGCTCCTCACCCTCGTCCTGGGCAGGCACCGGGTTCTTGATGAAGGTGGAGAACTTGTGGAAGATGTCGTTCCCGGCCAGGCTCGACTCCCTGTACCGCGGGACCAGGCTGGGGAACCTGCAGGGACGTGGGCACAGCTGAGGAAGGAGGCGGGGGCCGGCAGGCTCGTGTGCTGCCCGCCCCCCCAGCCTGTCCTGCCCCCCTTTGGCCCCTTGCCCCCTCTCGGGGCAGCGCCAGCCGCTGACCTGGGGGGGCCCAGCTTGTCCTCCAGGAAGTCCTCGATGGTGACGGTGTCGGTCTTGGGCTCGCCGTTGTAGAGCAAAACGGGCAGCTGGGCGCCCGGCGCGAAGTCCTTCAGCACGTCCAGCGCCCTGTGGGAGACGGGGACAGGCGCTGATGCCCGGCGGTGCCCGGGGCTCTGCAGGGCACCGCACACGCGCGTGTGTGTGTGTGCGTGTGTGCGCGCACGTGTGTCGTGGGCAAAGGGACGAGGTGGTGCCCCCAGGCTGCTCCTGCCTCTCTGTGTGCCCATGGCAGCTCTGCCCTGGAAAATGCCCACTGACCTCCCTCAGGCAGCGGTGGGCAGCTGGGGGGTACAACCATGTGTCCCACGATGCCCACCCTTCGCACCCCTTCCCAAGGTGTTGGGGACCTGCCACCTCCCCCAGCAGTGGGCCAGGGCAAGGCTGTCCCACCCCACCCGTGGCCCTGACCCCATGGCTGGCAACCCCTGTGGCCCCGCGGTGAGCGGGGGACGCGACTCACCTCTTCACGTCCACGGTGGTGAGGGTGAAGGGCACCCCTTTGAGCAGCAGCACCATGAAGAGCCGCTGGCAGAAGGGGCAGTGGCCCACGCTCTCCCCGTCCTCGCTTGCCTGCGGGCCGAGAGGGAGAGCTCAGCTGCCCCTGCGCCCTGGCACGGCCACGGTGGGGGCAGCACTGGCCAGGCAGCCCCGGTGGGTACAGGGTGAGGGTGGCAGGGCGCGTGCCACCCTCCCTGGCCAAGCCTGGGCTGGCCGCAGGCTGGCGAGCAGCGCTGGCAGGCCCTGGCCCGTGCCCCCCGCCACGCCGGGCAGGGTGCCAGCTCCTGGCCCCCGCCTGCTCCTGGGGCCCCCGCCTGCTCCTGGGGCCTCGGCGCCCCACCCTGGAGCAGCCTGCGTGGCACGGTGGGTGCTGGCCCTGGCACCCCCGGGGGACCGGGGGGCCCCAGGCTGCCCCAGCCCCACAGTGCCGAGCGGGCCAGGGCTCAGGAGCAGCCACCGCGGTGGCACCGGGGGCAGCTGTGGAAGGGGACAGCCCAGCACGGCAGGGACTGCGCCGGAGGAAGGCGATGGCGATGCTGGTTGCCCCGTCACCCCCAGGCGCAATCCCAGGCAGGCCCCGTCCTGCCCTGTGCAGCCGGACAAACTGCCCCGGCCGGGCGGTGGCCAGGAAGGGCCCGGCAGGTGCAGGCAGGCAGATGCTGCGGTGGCCGTGCTGCTGGGCAGGCTGGGGTGCACCCCATCCACCACCCCATGCTGAGCACCCGCAGCCCCCCATGCCCACGGGGCAGGCAGCAGCCTGCTGTGCCCTGGAGGAGAGCCCCGAGCTGCCCGCTGCCTGCCCAGGGCCCCACATCTGCGGTGGGCAGGGGCGGCCGGGCCACCCCAGCCCAGCAGTGCCGGGGTGGTTGCCGCAGGTGGCCACCGGCCCGGGGCACCCCAGGCCCCCTTGACCCCTCTCACCTTGACGAAGAGCTGGATTTGGGGTTTCTCGGCCATGCTGGGTGGTGGCTGCTGGCTGAGTGGTGGCTGTGCCGCGAGTGCCCGTGCCGGAACCACGGCCTGTCCCAGCCCACATTCCTCCCTGGGGTGCACCCGCTCCCACCCACGCCTGGCCCCGCGGCGCAGCCGGGGACGCCCTGCTGTGGGGCCCCGGCCCCCGCTGCTGCTGCCAGCCTGGGTCTGGCAAGGGCAGCTCACAGCATCGCCAGCTGCGGCCGCTCCTGCCTTGGTGCCCTGCCTGCGCTGCCTGCGCCCTGCAGGGGTTCGGACCCCCTGCCAGCCCCACCACCCGCCCTGGAAGATGCCAAATGCTGGGTGCAGCTCTGTGTTGTGCCCAGCACCCCGACCCCGGGGCACCGTCAGCCCCTCCTCGCCCCTTGCCCGGCCCGGTCCCTCCCCGGTCCCCCAGCCCCAGCACTCCTGCCCACCAGCAACCACGCAGCCTCGCTGGCTCCAGTTATTATTTTTTATTTAAAACGATCATTATTTTCACATTTCATCTTTTGTTTCTTTTGCTTGCAATGTACAGGCTCCTCCAAGGCGTCCCCACCCCTCGGGGTGCCCCGTGCCCGGGGCCGTGCATGGCACCGGCGCTGTGCCTGCGGCTGGTGGCCAAGGACGTGCAGAGGGAGGCGAGGCGGGAAGCGGGGCCAAACTCAACGAAGCGAATGGTGTTAAGGCAGCAGCCACCCCTGCCCTGGGGCGATGCCCTCCCGCTCCCACCCCGCTGCCACCCGCGGGGTGCCCCCAGCGGGGTTTGTGCCCCGGGCAGCCCCGGGGCCAGGGCGGGGAGGCCGCTGCGGCCACCCAGGCTGCGCGGGCGAGGGTGCCCCGGGCAGAAAAGCGTCTCCCCGACCTTGGAAAGCCACGAGGGTGGGGATGGAGGCATGGCAGCGGGTGGGGGCAGCTCTGCGGAGGGGAGGGCTCTGTGCCCGGGGTGCCGGTGCCCCCCGGAGCCCTGAGCGGCAGGGCAGCAGGGAGGGTGCGGGGCGAGGACAAAGCCCTGGCCAGAGCACGGCACCGTGCCCGCCCTGGGGTGCCCCGAGGGTGCCACCATGGAGGTCACAGCTGGGCACCCAAAGGTGACACCGTCCCCCCTCCCTGGTGACACAGGGCTAACCCCGAGCTGGCTTGGCCCCCAGCGCCCACCTGGGAAGGGAGCGTGCCCAGGCGGCACCCCAGGTGGGGGCTGCCCACCCGTGCCATCCACCCCCCCAGGGCCAGCCAGTTTCCAGTATGCCGTTAAAAAAAATATGGTCTGAAAAATCTGAAAATAGAGCTTCTCTCCCCCCCAGTTTTTCCCCTATTGAAAATACTGTATATTGTATCACAATCTATAGCTGGTGGCATACAGGACTGGCGAGACCGGGGGGCACGGGGACAGCGGAGGGTCAGCTGCCACCCGGGTCTGCCCCTGCGCCCTGAAGTGGGGCCAGGGCTGCCCCCGTCCTCCTCCCCACGCAGCGGGCTGCCCCACGGCAGCGCGCTGGGGGCCCGGTGCTGCCCGCTCGCTGGTGGGCAGGAGCCGGCCCGGGGCCTCCGGCCGATCCCGTGCCAGGGAGGCGGAAAGGGCAGCGGGGCGCACAGGGGGCACTCAGCCCTGGGTGCTCCCGGGAGGAGGGGGGGACTGCGCTGCAAAAGCCTGGGGCACCCAGGGGTGGGTGGTCAGGGTCAGCGTCACCGGCCCTGCCGTCACCCCGCCTCTGGGCACAGCTGTGGGCTGGGGGTGCTGCTGAGCTGGGGGTGCTGGGCACGGCCCCCGTGGGTGACAAGGCGGCAGGACCCTCTGCAGAAAGGAGGGGCACTGCTGGCCGAGGGGGTGCCCGCTGCCAGCCCCTGGTGATGCTGCCAGCCCCTGGTGACACTGCCAGCCCCGGGGACACTGCCAGCCCCACCACCTCAGTCCATCTTCCCCTCCATCCCGGGCACCCCTGCCAGGTTGCACCGGCGCCCAGCCGGGCCGTCTTGTCCTCATAGCTCAAGGCCACCCCACTCCCAGCTTCAAAAGGGGTGCAGCAACCCCCAGTACCACCAGTGACCCAACAGTAAGATACCAGTGCAGGTGGCTCCTGTGCAGGGCTGGCCACTGAGCAGCGAGTGCCAGGGCAAGGGGAAAAAGGAGGGGGACACAGCAGAAAGGTGGCACAGCCGCAGCGATGGCCTGTGGTGGGGGAAGCGGGCGGTGAGGGCAGGCAGGAGGCAGGGTGAGGGGCTCTGGGAGGAGGGACGTGGTTGGGGGCAGAGGGGAGAAGCAGCTGGTGCCAGCGTGTGAAATACCCTGTGAAATACCCCTCTGCCCCACCGCGTGCCCCTCTGCAGGGGCGCCGCTGCCCTGCCCCAGGGACGGCACCAGGTGCCCGGCACACGCGTGGCAGGGCCGGGACGGCCAGACCCCCTAGCTGGCAGCAGCGCGGGTGGGCAGGACGCACCAGCGGGGCTGAGGCCCCCGCCTTGGGCGGGCTGGAGGGCGCCGGTGCCATCCCATCAGTGCCAGAAATCCATCCGCGCTGAAGCACAGGAGCTCCTGCCCCCATGGCACTGGACTCCGAGCCCCCCACAGTGCCAAGGGCAAGCACCAAGCCAGGGTGATGGGAACAAGGTGAAAGCAGCCGTCCTTCCTCCAGCCCTGCCAGGGCCAGGCAGGGGTGGTGCCAGTGCCGGGGCGGGGGAGCGTCCCCGCAGTCAGGGGTCCCCAGGGTGGGTGCAACATGGGTGTCCAACTGAAGGCACCGCTCACAGGCCTCGTCCCCGCCACACAGTGTGCGGAGCCACAGCACTGGCGCCAAGCCGCGTCCTTCTCTTCCCAGTCTCTGTCCGTTGGCCCGCGTTGGCTGGGCGAGCCGGCCAAGGGCAGTGGCCCTCGGCACCATGCAGTGACACTGCCCCAGAGCTGAAGGGGACAAAGGCCATCCAGTGGGCGGTGGCTCGCGAGGTCCATCCAGGCTGGCGCCATACCCACCACGTCCTCCCTGGCATCTGCCTCCGGCCGCGGCAGCTCCGCTCAACGAGGCAAAGGGAGGGGAGAGGCCAAAAGGGTTCGCAGGCTTCACAGCCGGGGGACATGGCTGCCCCCGGGGTCTCAGCACAGCGTGTCCGTGTTGAACGAGAGCTGAGCCTGCAGGCACAGAGACGGGCAGGGCTCAGGGGCTGGGCAGGGGCTGCCCGCTCTGCCCAGCACACCCAGTGCTGCTGGGGGCAGGATCCGGCCTGGGGAGGGAGCAGCCGCCCCTCCCAGAGAGCCCTCTCTGGTCCATCCCTGGCCCCACCATGTCCCCTTCCCTGGATGAGATCCGGTGCCGTGGCACCCAGCCCCGGTGCGCCGTGGCAGGGACACAGCTGGGATCAGGGATGCCAGAATCAGGGGACAACCTCTCACCCTCTCCTCCTCAAAGCTGATGAGGCCTTCGTCATCGGTCTCCAGGTCCTCCTGCTCCTCCACCACGAGGGCCCGCAGCTCCGTGGGGGCGGCCCGGGGGCGCAGCAGGCTCAGCAGGCGCTCCAGGGGCGACTGCAGGGCGCAGCTGGGGCTCGTCTCCTGCTGCTCCAAGTTGTCACTTTGCTTCTTGGCAAAATTCACAAACACCTGGGGGGGAAGGGGCAAGAGGCTGTGAAGGACCCCTGTGAGCACCTCCACCCCCAGCTGCCCCTCGCCTGCCATCCCCGCCGCTGGAGACAGACCCCAGCGCATCCCACTGAGCTGTGGCCGCCACTGTGCCCCCCACCTAGCTCCACCTCCCGTCCCAAAGGTGGTTTCTGCCAGGCACTTTGGCACAGCCACCCCTGCCAGGCATGGCCACCCTCCCTGGGGACAAGCATCCAGCCGCCCGTGTCGTCCCCGCTCTCACGTTGTCCAATGTGGTCTGGCTGACGGAGTAGTCCTCAATGCCCAGCACGTCCACCACCTGCTCCATCTTGCTGAAGACCTGTGCCAGCGAGATCTGGTCCGACTTCAGCTGGTACTGGGCCTTGGTGTGGTGCCGCTCCTGCAGGGGACAGGGATGTGACACCCGAGCCCTTGCTCCCAGACCCCCTCCTGTCACCCGCGGCGGGTCCCACAGAGGTGTCCCTTGGGGGATGAAGGCTGCTGGTGCCCCGAGGCAGGGGACACCACCGCCACCGCCACCACAGGGAGCTCACCTTGAGGACAGCCTCAGGGAAGTTACGGTTGAAGAACCTCACCACCTCCTTGACATTGAGGCTGGACTTGGTGCGTACCGTGATCATGTAGCCATCTCCAAACCTGCACGGGGACAAGGGACCCCGTGAGGACCCGCCCCCTGCTGGCACCTCTGCGGGGAAGGAGCTCCACAGAAGGAGACGATGCTCTCCGGCAGCTGCTGTCACCCGAGCGAGCCCGTCCCCTGGCCACCCTCCAAAGCAGCACCCACACGAAGGGCTGACATCTCGCTGTGGGTGCCACACCGTCACCCTGCCATGGGGACCCGGCCCCCTCCCACCCCGCAGCGCACACGGGGTGCTGGACCCCCAACCGGGCTCTTACCGGTTCTTCAGGTGCTGGATGCTGCCGAGACACTTGAGCCGCCCGTTCACCATGATGGCCAGGCGGGTGCAGAGCGCCTCGCACTCCTCCATGCTGGGGAGACAGGGCAGGCTTCAGCAGGGTGGCATGGGGGGACCGTGCCAGGGGCCGCGGCTGGGGCAGGCGGGGAGCCGAGCTCCCCTGGCCATCACCCGGGTGCTGTGGCCCCACCGCCAGGGATGGAAGAAGGCAACAGAGGTGTCCCAGGCTCCCTCTGCTCCCCGTGCCCCTGCCGAATGCCATCCCCTGGGGACCACAGAGCCCTCTCCCACCCACGCAGCACCCCAGGTGCCCGGAAGCATCGCGGGTGCAGCCAGAAGCCCCCCAGACCTGTGAGATGTGAGCACCACGGAGCGACCCGTTTTGATGACATCCAGGATGAGGTTCCAGAGGAAGCGCCGTGCCTTGGGGTCCATCCCCGTGGTGGGCTCATCCTGGGGGACGGACAGCACCCTCAGACATGTCAGCCCCCGGGGGGGACCCCGCGACCCCCTCCCTGTCCTGAGCCCAGCTCAGGACACCATCCCACACCCCAGGACACTCGTGGCTGAGCTGGGGTCAGGCAGCTCCCACCCGGGGTCATTTCCCCACCCTAGCCCAGCGCCAGCCCCAGGGACACAGCGGGTGGGAGGACCCCGCGGGCAGGGCGCTGGAGCCCGGGGCGCACCAGGAAGATGAAGGCCGGGTATCCGATCAGCGCGATGGCTGTGGACAGCTTCCTCTTGTTGCCTCCGCTGTAGGTGCTGGCGGGCTTGTCAGCGTACTTGGTCAGCTCCAGCTTCTTCAGCGCCCACTTGACCACCTGCAAGGCGCGGGGGGCTGCCGTCACCCTGCCATGGCCACAGGGCTGGCAGAGCTGGTGGCGGGCAAGCAGTTGGGCTCCGCGGCACAGGCCTGCTGCCAAGGGGACCACAAGTGATGTGCCAGTCAGGGGAGCCCCATGGCAGCCCCTGGCACGGCCACGAGTGTCAGTGAGGGCCTGTGAGCGCATGTGCCCCAGCACCCATGGGCATATCACCGGGGCGGCACTGCCCTGAGGGCAGCAGCACCAGCTCGGTCCCTGCTGGTGCCCAGTGATCTGCCATTCCCAAGGCACAGCGCCAGCCCTCAGGCGCCGGCAATCGCCCGCCCAGAGCCCTACCCGCTCCTCGTCCTTCCAGGGGATGCCACGCAGCCGGGTGTAGAGCTCCAGGTGCTCCTGGGCCGTCAGCTCGTCAAAGAGCGCGTCGAACTGGGGGCAGTAGCCCAGGCTCTGCTGGACCTGCAGGAGCTCCTTCAGGATGCTGCAGAAGAGGACGGAGGGGCCGTGGGGAGAAGGAATTGCTTTTTGGGAGCACCCCGTCGCTCGCCCCCTTTTCACACGCGTTAATACTGGAGCATCTTCTACCAGGTAACCCACAACGCAGCCTTGGCCGAGAGCTGGTGTCACTTGCCACCCCAGATGATGGCCAGCCCAGCAGGACACAGGGCTGCAGAGTCCCGCAGAGCCACACAGGCAGACTCACGCTGCTTCATCTTGGGAGACCCCTGAGCAGACCCATCCTATCCCCAAGACAGCGGGCAGTCCCCACCTCCCACCCAGCCCGTGCCGCCTGACCTGTGCCCGTTAACGAAGGCCTCTCCGCCCGTGGTGCTCTCGTCCCCCGTCAGCATCTTGAAGGTGGTCGTCTTGCCCGCGCCATTGACGCCCAGCAGCCCGAAGCACTCCCCGGGCCGCACGCCCACGCACAGCCGGTCCACAGCCAGGATGCGCCCGATCTTGCGGGACTTGTACACCTGGTGGGGCAGGGGATGCGGGCTCAGCCCGCTGGCAGGCACCCGGACCCCCAGCCCCGACCCACGTTCCTCAGATGGGACGGCTCCGAGGTGTCTCCTTGCAGCCCCGGCGCATCCCCCACCGCCCCGCTGCCGCACCTTGGTGAGGTTTTCGATCTTCAGCATGTCGTTGTCAGCGTCGCCACGCAGGACACGGTGCCGCTCGTTGGCCACATCGATGTCGTCCTCGATGGGTTTGGTGGAGACAGGCAGCCGCCTGCGGGAGGGCGCACGGGGCAGGGTGGGGATGCAGGCATGGGAGCCACCCGCCCACATCCCTGCCGGGGATGGGCAGCTCCCCATCGCACACCCACTGGAGGGGCTGCCTTGAGCTAAGGGGTCCCGACAGCAAAGCCTTTCCCCACAGCCAGAGCCCCCAGCCTGCCCCCGCCCCCCGGCCGCACTCACTGGGGCTTCCGGAAGAAGTTGTACTGGCACATGATGGTGATGAAGAAGCCGACGAAGCCTTCAATTGTCATGGCGACAAGCCCCCGCGTCACGATGTCCCATTCGAAGGGTGATTTCATTTTATCGAACTGCCCTGAGTGGGAGGAAGAGGAGAGAGCAGCTGGGGACACCTTCCCATTGGGACAACCTGGTCATAGGTCTTGAGCTGGCCTGTGACAATGACATTGTCCTGCTCCCCTGTCCCCTCCCCTGCCGCAGCTGCCTGAGCAGGTCGGCGCTGCTGGCGCCAGGGCTGCTCACAGCAAGGCTTTCCATTCGTAGCACGTGTGCTGTTGAAATCATCTTGCAACTTTTCAACCTCAGTAGGATGAATCAACCCAACTGAGAGCGGGTATTGGATGGATTTGCCAGATCCGGCCCCAAAATTGCCCCTCATGATGCCAGGAGCACCTAGGTTATACACAGAAGCTGCTTGAGAAGCAGAGAGCAGCAAGAGCTTTTGGAGGCCAAGCTGAAGCTGTGAGTAGCAAAAGGCTCATTTTGGCTGGGCAGCGCAGCCCTGCGAGAGACCACGTCAGGAAGGAAAGAGCCCCTGCAGTCCCCATCCCTCATATCACAGCACAGCCCCACCATGGCCCACCACAGTCACTGCAACGCCCGCAGAAGACG